AGACAAGAATATGGAACCTAGTGGAGAGGTGATGTTCTTCTGACTTGTGTGGAATATACCTGGGCTTATGGAGTCTCCTGGAGCTGTAGGGAGGGAGAATGATGAGGTGTGTGTGGTTGGATGGTGGAGTGAGTCTTGGGAAAACAGGATCCAGTGGGTGGTGGCAGTCCAGCCGGCAAGAAGGCTTGTGGGAAGTGCACCAAAGCAGTGGAATTCCACCAGAGTACTACTACTGTAGGGCTCAGTGGTCTTGCTGGTGCTGAGATGGGGAGTGGGGCACATGTACCCTGGGTCAGGCTGCTTTCTAATAGAGCACAGGACTACAGGCCCAGGGATGGCACCCCATAATGGTCTGGGCCCTCCCCCATTAATTGCTAATTGAGAAAATGTCTTACAGCTCGATCTCAGGGAGGCATTTCCTCAACTGAGGCTCCTTTTACTCTGATGACTCTAGCCTGTGTCAAATTGACATACGAAACCATCCAGTACATAAATACCTTCATACAAATAAATACACACATACAATACCCTGTGTCAAATTGACACACAAACCCAGCAAGTACAGACCTTCAAACAAATAAATACACACATACAAACAAACACACATATATGGGGAGGGGTGACTTACAAAAGTACTATCAAGAAATAAAAATTCCAATGCTGCTTAATTTTCACTGAATTTAAATTACTTGAAATTCCCCAATGATGTAAGCACAGTGCTAGATAAATTTAGATATTTACTAATGATAAATATCTAAATCATTTGCATAATATATTCATCATGTTTAAAAAACTGCTCTTCTGTAGATATGTTTGTCTGTCTGTATATATGTCTCTCTGCTTCCATGCTTGAGATTACTTCTCTGTTCTGTGATCCTATAACTAACATTTCCCTATTCATATATATGTGTATGTGTGCATACCTGTTGCAAGGTATCAACCCCCAGCATCAAAGATCCTAGGCAAATATGCTTCCACTGAACTACACACAAATATAACACACGCACACGAGTGCACACACACATACACACACACACAAGCCTTGAATCTATTTGGAATTCATTGTAGTATGGATTTTTTTGCCTCTGATTATCCATTTATCTCAACATTATGTATAGAGTTATGTCTCTAAAATGTCCCATGCCCTGTGTGAACCAGAGCCACAAGCATGTTACACTTGAGTCCTTTCAACAGACTCCTAACTGGCTTTCCTCTTCGGTAGGGCTTTTGCTTTCTCATTGTACTCTACACATGGAGGGATCTTGTCACTTTTCTACTTGAATCCTTTTGATGGGTTTCCCCTACACTCAGAATGAAATCCAATTTTTGGGTTTTTTGTTGTTGTTGTTTGTGTGTTTAAAAATATTTATTTATTTATTTATTTATTATGTATACAATATTCTGTCTGTGTGTATGCCCACAGGCCAGAAGAGGACACCAGACCCCATTATAGATGGTTGTGAGCCACCATGTGGTTGCTGGGAATTGAACTCAGGACGTTTGGAAGAGCAGGCAATGCTCTTAAACTCTGAGCCATCTCTCCAGCCCCTGTTGTTTGTTTTTTGAAACAGGGTTTCTCTGTGTAGCTTTAGACCCTGTCCTAGAACTCATTATGTAGTCCAGACTGGTCTCGAACTCACAGAGATCCACCTGCTTCTGCCTCCGGAGTTCTGGGATTAAAGGTGTGTGCCACCACCACATAGGAAGATGCTTACAACTAGGGTGGTCACATCATTCATCTCCCAGAGAGTAGCCACTGAGGCAAAGGAAGACTGATAAAAAACAACACTGGAATTGCAGACAACACTGGGCAAGCTGAGCTTCAAGCTCTTGCCTCTCCTCTAACAGACAGTGCTGTCAGCCCAGGGGATCTTATTTTGCAGCTTCAACCTTTACAACCTCTTGTTATTAAGACTTTAAGTACTATTCAATTTTACCCAAAGCATTTACTCTTCACATTCCACTCCCAATCCACTATGGACATCTCACCCTCTTCTGTCTACCCCACCCCACCCTTAAGCCACTTCTTCAATCCAAACATGCATTTCCGTCATTCCACATCATCTGCTGTGTTTCTCTGCCCAAGGGGCACCTCTCCTACCAAATTCATTATTCAAACAGATCCTCTACAAGTTACACCCACAGGGTCTGCAGAGCACAAAGCAGGCACTAAATAGACATCTAAGAGACAATAGTTGAAGATATATTTCATTTCACTTGCAAATTACCAAAGGTAATATAAAACTAACCCAAAGAAAATGTAGCAAGCATGTGGGATCTATATATTATTGTTCTATAGTGAGTGTGTATTTGATTGAGCATATCTTAGTATGTTTGGGAAAAAACTCTTACTACTCTGGGGATACATCTCTCAGTACTGTCAATTAAACAGTTAAAAAACAACAGAAGTCTAAAATTAAGTAATTCCCTTTATCCACTAAAAATTTTAAAAGTGTTTACATTATATCAGAATTGTATAGATATTGTATTTATCTATCTTGCTTCCCAAGATAATAATTAAGTGGTTATATTTTAAAAAACCTAAATTTTGTTTAAAAGATCGGCTTTTAAAAAGAATTACCCACAAATGTGACATTCAAGAAGTGATAGCTATATAAATTCCTTCAAGGAAACTAATGTCAAATGTTAAGACAACAAAAGAAAAATACTCGTCACAAGCCTGGCTGCCATAGAGTGAGGCTGCTCACTGAAATACCATTTCTGGCTCCCATCCACTCTCCATGTATATTTCTTGAAAATACATCTTTCATGTTAACTTTGGGCTCAGGTTTTGGTCATATTGCTTTATAAAAATAAAAACTAGTCCCAGTCCTGCTGGCCTTGGTGAACTCCCATTAGATCAGCCCCACCATCTCAGTGGGTGGGTGCACCCCTCGCAGTCCTGACTTCCTTGCTCATGTTCTCCCTCCTTCTGCTCCTCATTTGGACCTTGGGAGCTCTGTCCAGTGCTCCAATGTGGGTCTCTATCTCTATCTCCGTCCATCGCCAGATGAAGGTTCTATGGTGATATACAAGATATTCATTAGTATGGCTATAGGATGGGGCCCTTTCAGGCTCTCTCTCCTCAGCTGCCCAAGGATCTAGCTGGGGACATCTCTCTCGACCCCTGGGAACCCCTCTAGAGTCAAGACTCTTGTCAGCCCTAAAATGGCTCCCTTAATTAAGATATATACTTCCTTGCTCCCATATCCACCCTTCAAGGCCAGCTGGACTGGAACTGAAAAATCATGGGATAAAACCGGACTCTCTGAACATGGTGGACAATGAGGGCTGTTGAGAAGCCAAGGACAATGGCACTGGGTTTTGATCCTACTGCATGTCCTAGCTTTATGGGAGCCTAGCCTGTTTGGATGCTCACCTTCCTAGACCTGGATGGAGCGGGGAGGACCTTGGACTTCCCACAGGGCAGGGAACCCTGGACTGCTCTTCGGACTGGAGAGGGAGGGGGAGGGTAGAGGGGAGGAAGTGGGGGGAGGGGGAGGGAAAAGGGAGGTGGGGAGGAGGCAGAAATTTTTAATAAAAATAAAATAAAAACTAAACAGTCATCCATCTAACATATTTTCCACATGATAAAGTTTAATTATTCACTATGAAGTTTTACCATGTAGATATTCACAATGCCATGGAATAACACAAATACTGTTTTCTATTCAGAATGATTCCATATTAGCTGACTTCACTTCAAACACTATTGGAGAGAATAGCAAAATTTTCATTGAAACGCTGTTTTCAATTCTTAGCATTTTTGAACCAAGACAACAGTCTCACTAAGGAATTTAGCCAAGTTCTCACAGTTTACCACAGCCGGCTGTGGCTGATGGTAATTTCTTACAGGCAGTATAAAGCCAAATGAAGCAATCTTCAGAGCACTGCAAACCTTCCGGAAGCACTTTAACATCAAGCAACGTTTGTTCCAATCTTATCCTGCTTTGGAATTAAGCTTTAACTTTCTGAGCCTTTACAAATCAATTAGGCTTGGGTACCATTTACAGTCCATTTACTCTTTACAGTCATGTATTTGTACATTTTCTCTAGGGATAAGATATTACAGTTTACGCATGTTTTACTTCAACTCTGATGCATCACTATTTTTTTCTAAAAATGTAAACTTAAAAGCAAATGAAGTTGGCTCAAAAAGGCATTTCTCCCAGAAGTGTAAATCAGGTTTTTCATCTTGAAGGAGTTAGTGGGTGATCAACATGATCAAAATACATTTTATGAAATTCTAAAAAAAATTAATAATATATTATTAAAAAAGAAATCTCAGTATTCATCCCCAAATAATCCATCATTTAATTATGGAATTCATATGAGACAATATTTTTATAAATAATGGCAACAGTGTTGTATCCAAATATATACAAGACTATACAACCAGATTTTGTGAATTCTTTTTTTTTCCTTAGAAAAAGAGCAGGAAAACTATGATTCTCCTTCTCCAGATACATCCATCTGGAGGAAAGATAAGTGATAAAATTACAAAGTTGGTGAAAACAAGCGACCTGAGGTCTGGTCACCAACGTTCTGTAATTAACTTATATTTGAAACTGCTCTGGCTCTATAACATGGAATGACATCATGAAACATGAACTGGTAAGAATAGGGAGTGGGAGATGCTAAGGAAGGAGGAAAAGAAATGTTGAAATCCTCCTGTAATCAAGCACTGTCATCAACGAGCCAAGCAGAGTAATCCAGACCAAAGTCACACTGTGTATTGTGCCCACTACAGCAAATGGAAACCTGATTTTCAAACCAAATCAAACTTGTCAGTGCTGATTCTGAACTGCAGTTACAGTCCTGTACAGTTTAATTTCGTCATCATAATCTTTAAGAAGCTCAGTTCTTTCTCCTCACTATGATTTGGGGTATTGGGACACTACACTATTTGAAGGAGCATGTACGTGGCGATGCAGGCTCAAAGTGCCTTGATCACAAGCCCCCTGAGCAGCACCCTTTGAGAAGATGCAGTGTGCTCTCACCTTCACGTTGGGTTTTGACAGCAGTTTCAGCAGCTCTCTCATCTCACTGCTTAGTGGCTTGTTCTGTAGCTCTTCAGCCAGCTGCAAGGGAGAGGACATGGATGTGAGTGACAGCTCGCAGAACACCATCAGGTTCACTGTGTCACGACTGACTCTGGTTTGCTCAGTGCCATTGCTTTCCAGAGCATCAGGATAAGTCACCAGGAAAAGAAGCAGACCATCAGCCTGTGCTCTTCTTTCCAGGCCCACAGCAGACCAGATCCAATCCTACGTCTAGTGCAGCTGGAGCAATACCATCAGCCAGTTCACCTTCTGATTTACTGCCAGGAGGGCAAATCCCAGCACTTCATCTGCCTGCGTGAATGGTCTTCTGCACGCAGACAAAGGGCCATTTGTATAAAGGACTGGATCAGCTTTGACAGTGCACAAAGAAGAAAAAAAGACAGCTTCTGAATGAGGTGGTGAAATCCTCAGGACTTCCAGAAACCCACAGTAGTTATGCTGTTCAGAGCTGGGGTAAAAAGAATTCGAATGCTCCTCACAGAATCAATGGCCTGCAGCTTTTACTGTTTCTGTACACACAGTCTTGGCTCATAGTCAACAGTCTATGAAGTCTATTAACTACAAGTCAAGTTCACCATGAATGCATATCAGCTCATAACAACTCTGGTACCAACAATATCAGTGGTACTTTTCTGTAACCAAGAAGAAGGCCTACCCGTGGGTTCAAAAGAAAAGACTGGAATTTTGAACCTGATTCCTGCTCTCCACTAGGAGATGTGGAATGTTCTCACCATAAAGAAGCATGCTGAGGGGGCAAACAGGCTTGAGTTGATCCTTATGAAATGTGTATGTGTGTGCAAAGGTACTAAACCACAACCATAAATATATTTAATCACCATTTTCTGATTATAAACAAGGTAAAATATAAAATGAGAACTTCCTAGCAATATACTAGTCAATTTTAGGCTATAAGAAATAGACACAGACACATTTAGAACAAGATTCAAACAGCACAAAAAAGTTTAGAATCATGAAATTTATGGTGTGTTATTAGAATATATATTCAATATCTCTTCTTAAAACACAACATGGAACCAACATTTGCCCCTACTACCCCCATCATGCTGGCAGGACAAGGTGGTTCTTAGCTATGGGAAAGGAGCTTTCTGTAGATGGAATGTACAAAAGAAACAATCAGATGAAATTGATAGATTTATCAATTGCACTAACCTATGCAAGCAGCTCTTTACTCTTACATACATGTGTTTTAACATTAGATCTACTACTCCAGTGAATTAAACACCATAGTTTATCACAATGACACAGATTCTAATGTGTGTTTATTTCTAGAGACTATGGAGCGTGAGTCCATGGCATTGCATCTGCTTGCTACACACTCTGATGCCAAGTGATAGTCCCTGCTTTGGATTCTTCTCATTTAACAAACAAAAGCAAAACTGGGGGCCGGAGAGAAGGCTCAGCAGTGAAGAGTGTCTATTGCTCTTCCAGAAGACCTGAGTTTGATTCCCAACACCCACATCAGGCAGCTCACAACCACTTGTAACTTTGGGGAACTGGACACCTTTTTCTGGTGCCTGCAGGCATGCACATATGCCTGTGCACACATGCCTGCATGTACACACACACACACACACACACACACATACACAAATAAAAATGGTAAAAATAAATCTTTAAAATAAGTTGCTATCTTTTGATTGGGAGGAGGCATTTGTTTCCACAAAGACATTTCCAAACCTCCCTATGCTCTGTGTTTTCATAATTGTTTTTAAGGCTTATTCGAGTTGCAACTGCAGCAACTCATACGACTATCCTTACACCTTTATTCACCTTTAAAAAGTCTGGGTTCTATGTTACTTCTTTACGTGACATGTTAAAACAAACTTGTGTCTGCAGAGAAACAAGAGGGACAAGCCTGGGGCTAAGCAGACCCGCTCGGATGTTAGTTGCAAAGGCTTTATTTCATATATGAGGTTCTAGAAATCTGCTCTGGCAGATATTGAATAGTTTGTGATATAAGACCCTGAAATTCTGCAACACTGAATTATAGTTTGATTTATACAATGAAAGCACAACTGAAGAGCAACAAATAAGCTGGACTCATCACTCCCACACACCAGCACACACACCTCTGTCTAGCTGTGCGCCCTTACAGCTTATCCAGGTGTGTTCTCAATTAATCCGAGGCTGAGAGTTAGCAGGAGAAATCAGCAAGTGAGTTCTCCTTCCCCAGGTTTAAAATAAAATTATAGCGACAGGAAATTAACTACTCCATCAATGCCAAATGCTTCTAAATTTATTTTTTGGTTATGAAGGTAATTTGGAATAGTCTAATATCCATAAATCATTACTATACTCCATAATCCATTTTAAAAACAATCCTGCCTTTTATGGATTTAATATGCCCAATTCCTTTCCTAGTATCTGTCATTTTTGGTACTGTCAGCAATGTAACTATCTCATTTGTCTTTATTTCTCCAAAGCATTCTCCTTGTGTGACTTTCACAGAAGACTGATGCCAGACAGCTTTTTACTGCATAAAATTTAAAGCCTACAATTTCTATTACATAGTCACCAAGGCATAATACCAGGATAGCTTTAGGTACAAATTTAGAAAAAGAAAGTAGATAGGAATCTACACAGCATCAGCACATGCTTGGCGATGACAGGGATTTGGGAAACATTCGTGACTTCTTCCACCTTTAAAGGGTAACACACATCTGTCTGCCACGGGGTAAGTCCTGCTTGGAACCAAGAAAGGCACACTTACATCATCAGCCAGTGCTGCTGCCCCATGGAGAATGGGCACTGGACTCTGCTTCTCATAGTAGTGAAGTTTTTCATGAATCTGGAAGAAAATGAGAGCAGTATGTTCACCTGCTGGCAAAGAATCATAAATACCTAAATACTTTCACTACTGTGAAGAGAATCAGATCTCCCCAAATTTTTAAAGTCATGTGTTCAAATCAACATAGAAGATGGAAGATGTGTCTCTAATCCATCAATTACTACCAAGAATCAAATGGCAAAAGCATCCTCAAACAGAGCAGGTAAAAGCACTAAACCTCTGCTTCTCCTCCTAAACAGAGCCCACTGTTTGTGAGCTACACTACCTCAATATTTCAAGTTTCATTTATAGCTTATACTCCCACAAAACAACAATAAAGATAAGCAATCTAGCCGCCCTAGTCCGACTGGCTGGACTGCAGAGGTGGCAAAGTGGGGAAAGCAGGCTCTTAGGGCTAATGACGCCAGGCACACATGTACCTTACCCAGGATGGGTTCCGACAACCTACCTCCCCACCGTCACTGTTGTTCCTGCCCCAAATCAAATCTCAAAGAAACTAAAAGGATTTCCCTTGAGCTCAGACATCTTCACTGTTTAGGTTGATAACACCATGTTCCATACTACAAATAACAGGTGAATAATATTACAAAGTAAAACCAATCCAGCTGCCAGGTCTCATCACCATGACCCAAGAGACATGCACAAGAATGTGTGCAGAATTAGGCAACCAAGTTTCCTTAAAATTATTTGGGCTGGAGAGATGGCTCAGCAGCTAAGAGTGCATACTGCTCCTGCAGCAGACTAATGGGGGAGAGTCTTCTGTTTTGTGTTAATTTCATTGGTTAAATAAAGAGACTGCCTTGGCCCTTTAATAGGACAGAAAATTAGGTAGGTGGAGTAGACTGACGCCATGATTCTCCCATTCCAGAAAGATGCAGGTTAAGATCTTTCCTGGTAAGCTAGCTCATGGTGCTACACAGAATATTAGAAATGGGTTAGATCAATTTGTAAGAGCTAGCCAATAAGAGGTTAAAACTAATGGGCCAAGCAGTGTTTAAAAGAATACAGTTTCTGTGTAATTATTTTGGATAGAGCTAGCCGTTGGCCGGGAGCTAAGCGGTAGGAAGTGGCCCGCCGCTCCACACAACAGCAGACTCAAGTGGAAATCCCAGAACCCACATCAAGTGTCTCACAACCACCTGAAACTCCAGCTCCACCACCTCTGCCTCCATGGCTCTGATACATGCACATACCCACATACACAAACACATCCACATATATATATTTATAAAATAAATCTTTTAAAATATGTTGTGGTATATAAGTGAAACCTTCTTTGATCAGTATGTGAAGTGACCATCCTCATTTATGTTTTTTCCTTAGCATTTAAAATACTTTAGAACTCACTTTAGCCTATTCTTGCTTATAGTTAAGAAAACTATTCTCTCCTGTGTTTGAAAAACAATGTCTCACCATCTCCTGCTAATTATAGTTGAAGTTAGCCAACCCCTTGTAGGAGTCTGCAAGAGAGATTTTCTTTTGATTGACTAGACGTTCCTGCTGAGAGCAGATCCTATTACTTTTGGCAACTTGGTATAAAAGGTAGGACATCAGGGAAAGGTTTGTGAGAGTTATGGCATTACCAGAATGAGCAGAGCAAAATGTTTTTGAATTTAATATCTTGGAGCATTTAAAGTGTTTATCACAAATTGTAAAGAATGTAAAAAATGGAATAATTTTTAGGAAACCAGAAAATTGTGATTTGAAACAAAACTCAGGCATCCTGAGAGCTAAATTTATTTTATTTAAACAATTATCTAGCACTAGTCTGCAGGACACTCACTACCTTAAAGTTTTATAAAACTCACCTAGCTTTACTATAGCCACTTCTCAGAATGCTTCCTACAAGAGTAAATACTTAAGAGGCACATCTTTAATCCCAGCACTTAGTAGTAACACAAGGTCAAGTCATCTTCAGCTATACAGGGTGTTTGAGGATACAACTGTCTCAAAAAAACAAATAAAAGAAGGTTCATTTTTATGTGCAACAGCTTTTTCCCCCAGTAAACTTTCTTCTTTATTACACAAATACTAAAAGTCTAATGGAGTAAAGATACAAGACTGACAGTAAGTCCCCTAAAGGAGGAATGTAAGTAAATCCTCAAAGCAACATAGCTTTAAAGAAAATAATAACATGTATGTTAGTATGCTGAGCGGGAGGACAAGAGTAGCTGCTAGAAAATGCAGGTAAAGAACTGAATCTGAAAGAGAACTGCATAGTGTAAGAAGACATCACATGAATGAAAGGTTAAATAAACCTCAGCTGTGAATGGACTTCATAAATATATTGAGCTGTACATTTTTCTCTGCTTCCTTCCCTCCCTTTTCCTACCCTTCAGCCATCTCCCAAGGTCCCCATGCTCAAAATTTCCTCAGGAGATCTTGTATTTTATACTCCCATGTAGATTAAAGCTATGTAAGTCTCTCTTAGTGTCCTCACTGTTGTCTAGGTTCTTTGGGATTGCAATTTATAGGCTGGTTTTCTTTACTTTATGTTTAAAAACCACTTATTAATGAGTACATATGATAATTGTATTTCTGGGTTTGGGTTACTTCACTCAAAATGATGTTCCATCCATTTGCCTGCAAATTTAAACATTTTTTTTTCTGCTGTGTAGTACTACATTGTGTAGATGTACCACATTTTCCTTATCCATTCTTCAGTCAAGGGGCATTTAGGTTGTTTCCAGGTTCTGGTTATTTCAAACAATGCTGCTATAAACATAGTTGGACATATGTCTTTGTGACACAATTGAGCATCCTTTGGATATATACCCAAAAGTGGTATTACTGGGTCTTGAGGAAGGTTGTTTCCTAATTTTCTGAGAAACTGCCACACTGACATCCAAAAGGGCTGGACCAGTTTGCACTCCCACCAGCAATGCAAAAGTGTTCCTTTTACCCCACAACCTCTCCAGCATAAGCTGTTATCAGTGTTTTTGATCTTAGCCATTCTTACAGGAGTAAGATGGAATCTCAGATTTGTTTTGATTTGCATTTCTCTGATGACTAAGGATGTTGAACATTTTCTTAAGTGTCTTTCAGTCATTTTAGATTCCTCTGTTGAGAGTTCTCTGTTTAGGTCTGTATTCCATTTTTTTTTATTGGAGTATTTGTTCTTTTGATGACCAATTTCTTGAGTTCTTCGTATATTTTGGAGATCAGACCTCTGTTCAATATAGGGTTGGTGAAGATCTTTTCCCATTCTGTTAGGCTGTCATTTTGTCTTGTTGACCATGTCTTTTGTTTTACAGAAGCTTTTCAGTTTCAGGAGGTCCCATTTATTAATTGTTTCTCTCAGTGTCTGTGCTACTGGGGTTATATTTAGGAAGTGATCTCCTGTGCCAATGAGTTCAAATGTACTTCTGACTTTCTCTTCTATGAGGTTCAGTGTGGCTGGATTTATGTTGGGGTCTTTGATCCATTTGGACTTGAGTTTTATGCATGGTGATAGATACGGATCTGTTTTCATTCTTCTACATGTTATGCCAGTACCACTTGTTAAATATGCTTTCTTTTTTCCATTTGATATTTTTTGCTTCTTTGTCAAAGATCAGGAGTTCCTAGGTGTGTGGATTAATACCTGGGTCTTCATTCAGTTCTATTGGTCCTCCTGACTGTTTTTTTTTTTTTTTCTTCCAATACCAGGCTGTTTTCAGTACTGCAGCTTTGCAGTAGAGTTTGAAGTCAGGGATTGTGATGCCTCCAGACTGTCGTTTATTATACAGGATTGTTTTAGCTATCCTGGGTTTTTTGCTTTTCCATATGAAGTTGAGTACTGTTCTTTTGAGGTCTGTGAAGAATTTTGCTGGGATTTTGATGGACATAGCATTGAATCTGTAGATTGCTTTTGATAAGATTGCCATTTTTACTTTGTTAATTCTACCCCCAAAACCGTGGGAGATCTTTCCACCTTCTAGTGTCTTCTTCAATTTCTTTCTTCAGAGATTAAAGTTCCTGTCATACAAGTCTTCCATTTGTCTGGTTAGAGTTACTTTGAGATATTTTATGTTACTTGTGGCTATTGTGAAAGGTGATCTTCCCCCGATTTTTTTTCTCAGCCCATTTATTAACTGTATACAGGAGGGCTACTGATTTTGTTTTGTTTTTTTTGTTTTTTCTGTTTTAGTTAATCTTGTATCCTGTTACATTACTGAAAGTGTTTATGAGCTGTAGAAATTCCTTGGTAGAATTTTTGGGTTCGCTTATGTAAACTATCATATCATATCATCAGCAAATACTGAGAGTTTGAATTCTTCTTTTAGGATTTGAATCCCCTTGATCTCCTTTTGCTGTATTATTGCTCTAGCTAGGACTTCAAGAACTCTATTGAAAATATATGGAGAGAGTGGGCAACCTTGTCTTGTTCCTGATTTCAGTGGGATCGCTGGGAGTTTCTCTTCATTTAGTTTGATGTTGACTTGCTGTATATTGCCTTTATTATGTTTAGGTATGTTCCTTGTATCCCTGCTCTCTCCAAGACCTTTATCATGAAGGGATGTTGTATTTTTTCAATAGCTTTTTCAGCATCTAATGAGATGATCATGTGGTGTTTATTTTTCAGTTTGTTTATATAGTGGAATACATTGACAGATTTTTGTATGTTGAACCATCCTTGCATCTCTGGGATGAAGCCGACTTTATCATGGTGGATGATGGTTCTGATGTGCTCTTGCATTCAATCTGCCAGTAGTTTATTTAGTATTTTTGCATCAATGTTCATGAGTGAGATTAGTGTGTAACTCTCTTTCTTAGTCATGTCTTTCTGTTGTTTGGATATCAGGGTAATTGTAGCCTCATAAAAAAAGTTTGGCAATGTTCCTTGTGTTTCTATTGTGAGGAACAATTTGAGGAGTGTTGGTATTAGTTCTTTGAAACTCTTGTAGAATTATGAGCTTAAACCATCTGGTCCTAGGCCTTTTTTTTTTTTTTGATTGGGAGACTTTTGATGACTATTTCTATTTCTTCAACAGTTATAGGACTCTTTAATTTGCTTATCT